TGTTCAATTTCCATTGATCTCTCTCCAACACTATTTTCAGTGTCACTCCCTTTAAAGGGTCATACAAAAATAAGGTAGCACCCACATATATCGTTGTATCTCCTTGTTCTGTACTGTGTCTCAGCAGCTCTCAGTTGCACTGATTTGTGCAGCTGCACTGTACAAGGGTTTATAGTGTCAGAGCTAAATGACCTAACTTAAAAAACAAAACAAAACACACATGCTAAGTCTTTTCCATGCTGTGTTGGAAATTGGTTCAAGTTGGTATGAGATATAAGTGCAGTAAGCTTTGGGAGAAGGCTGTCTTAAGGAAAAACAAGGGACCTGAGGTCCGCAGCAGAAGTAAATATGGGACTGGCTTGTGCGTCTTCTGGTGGGACTTGGATTAGTTCGCAGCCAGTGCTGGAAAATCCTTGAGAACGGGTCTTACCTCCTGGGTCTCATCAGAATTAGGAGAATCAGCACAGAACCCTTCTATGAAGCCTCAGTAACATTTTTTCATAAAATAGTGAGGCCTTTCAAGAGGATAGAAAATTAGGAGTAATACAAAGAGGAAGTCTATAGTCATCGAATTGCATCATGCCTGCCTCCCCTCCAGAGGGGCAGTGGTGCCAACTGCAGCAGCAGTGTGCTTAATCTTTGATATGCTCCATGGCTCAGTAAAGCTTTACCGAATTATATAAATGTGAAAAGGCCCACCATTTGCCTTGGGCAGCTGCACCAAATTGGAATTTCCAAATGTGACTTCTCATATTCCAACAGCTGGAGTGGGTAATTCTTCCACCTGTTGCTTTTTCTACAGCTACTTGATCTCAGCGCCAGAGTGGGAGCAGCTGGGGACCACAGCATTGTGTAAGTTACCTCTGTTCTGTTTCTGTTTTAGTCCAGTCTGCATTGTAACGTGTTTCTCCTTGGATGATGAGCGTACCCAGCAGGGGTCATCACCAGACTGGGTCTCATTAAAAGTCTGATGAATGAATTATGTTCCTTGTGGAATTACTATTTACACCAATGTAAATCTGGTTCCTTGACTGAGTAGAAACTTTTACTGTTCTGATGGAGATCCACCCCTCAGTCCAGCAGGCCTGCCCTGCCCTGCCAAGTAGAGACAGAAGAGAACATCAGCCCAGCCCATGTTGGAGGAGAACTGGCTCTTTCCTACTCTTTATTGCCAGGCTGACCCAGTATTTCCTCACCTGAGAACTTTGTAACTTTCTTTTGGGACTGGACTATAATTCATAAACTTGGTAGCCCTTGGTTTCTCTTTTTTAGTTTTATGGTTTTCAGAGTCTTCTCTTGTCCCAAACACACTCCAGGCCTATAAATATGCTACGGCTAGGTCTTTAAAACAATAAAAACTTTCCACTTTGTCTCCATCTCCCATTTTCAGCTAAATTCTGAAGCAGTAGCCTACATTCAGAGTATCTGTTTATTCTTTGACCTATTGCGTATTAGTTTTTTATGATGTGCCATGTACTGTGTAAGTACTTTATATATAACACATTCCAATCTTATGTTTACAAGAATCCTATAAAATAGGTGTTTAAGAGATAACACTTCCATGCGGTCTCATGTTCCCATATAATCTTGCTGAATGGGCCAAAAATGCAAGGTACTGCCGCACAACAAATTCTCAGAGAGCCTATTCGCAGACCTAGAGCACTTTGAGTAATGGGGGGCCAGTGGCCTGGTCCCGTTGAATGGGACCATACTACAGTGGCAAAAACATATGCTGTAGATCTCCTAATCTTTTCCAATGTACTTGCAGCCGGGTTGCATTAGAGGCTGCGGTATTGGACTGGGTGTTGGAGAAGGGAAGTAACTAGAAGTTTCAGGGATTACTAGACATTGGATCTAAACTAATTCTAATTCTAGCAGATCCAAATATCATTG